AGTTTTGAGAGGAAGAGTTAGAAAGAAACTTAAGAATAACTCATGTTGACTCTCACATGTGATGCATGATATTATAATTTCAGGGCAACCAATAAAGAGTTGTCAATATTTAGAACTTTAGAAACTATTTTTCTGTGGATGTCAGAGCATGCAGGGGTGTTACAAGGAAGGCTAAGATCCACTTGAAATTAAATCTGGCAAGGGATGTCAAGGACAATAAGCAGAGTTCCTTGAAGTACATCGGTAGCAAAAGGAAGACTAGGGAAAATTTGAGCCCACTGCTGAATGAGGTGGGTGCCCTGGTGTGAAGGTGGGGTTACTGAATGACTTTGCTTCAGCCTTTATTGCTCAGCTCTGCTGAGAAGAGTCTGGGGGTCCTGGTGGACAACAAGCCATCCATGAGTCATCAGTCCACGTGGCCAAGAAGACCAGCAGTATCCAGGATTATATTAGGAAGACCATCGCCAGCAGGTCGAGGGAGGTGATGCTGCCTGTCTACTCAGCCCTGCTGAGATCACATCTGCAGTAACGTGTCTAGTTCTTGAATCCTCAGTTCGAGAAAGGCCAGGAACCACTGGAGAGGGTCCAGGAGAGGGCTGCGAAGATCATTAGGCATCTCTTATGAGGAAAGGCTGAGTGAGCTGGGACTGTTTAGCCTGGAGAAAACATGGCATCTTGTCAATACAAGCAAATATATTAAGGGTGAGTGTCAAAGGGTGGGGCCAGACTTTTTCCAGCGGAACTCAGCAACAGGATAAGGGACAACAGGCATAAACTAAAACACAGGAAGTTCCTTCCAAAAAATGAGAAAAGACACCGAAACAGGCTGCCCAGAAAGGTTGTAGAATCTCCTTCTCTGGAGAGATTCAAAACCTGCCTGGACATGATCCTGTGCAACCTGCTCCAGTTAAACCTACTTGAGCAGTGACATTGGACTAGATGATCTCCAGAGGTCCCTTAGAACATCAGCTCTTTCATTTTTCTGTGATTCTGCAAATCTGTTCACAAGCTGATAAAAAACTGACAGATTGTTTATTGTCACTAAAGTAGATCTAAAAGTTGGTTAACCACAGCAGTTGTCACAACTGGGGATTAATTTTTCACACCACTACAGTGTATTGGGAGCAATGGTGATATGTTCATATCTTTGTATGGAGATGTTTTTGTTTCCTTAGAAATCAGGGTTGGAGATGAATACAAAATAAACCACTTGCTAATATATACTATCAAGAGCAAAATAAATTAAAGGTGGACAGGGAGGCAAACTTTTCTAGTAGCTGGAGGATATTGTCTAGGCATGTTCTGACATCATCTGTTACATGGTATGCGAATGACCAGGAGAAATTCTCTGCTTGGGAGCACTGGCACAGAACCCTGACTTCCACAGGGTGATAGAAGGAGTTTTACTCTGTAAGGATGTCAGGGAATCTTGTGCATAGCACTAAGTGCTTACAGTCAGAAATGGTGTTAGCCGATGCTAAAACATATTAGGACTTGCAGGAAGATTATAAAAGATGTCAAAACAAAACAGCAACAAAGAAATTACCTTCTCTGCAAAATTTTGTGTCTTATTTGTGTGAACAAAGCACTTTTTTACTTTTTTTTCCCCAGAAAGTGTGTCATTGGTAGTTTTGTATGGCTGCAAGCCCACAGACTTTTAAAATGAAAATGGTAACACATTTAGCAGGAAAAAAAACATACAGAGAAATGAACTCTACTAGTGGAAAAAACCAGTATGTACAAATCACAGTCAATAAATCTAAAAAAGAACAAGAATGCATTTCAATGCAATTTACTTTACATTCCATAATCAATGCAAATAATTCCTACTTCTGCCGTTATGTATTACAGATATTTCTTGTTCTGTAGATTTCTGTTGGACTGGAAAGTCAAGTGAACTAAACCCAAACTATTTCTTTTAGTTTCCCCTAATCTACTTCTTAAGCATAAGGGTAATTTATATCATTTGACATGGGTCTTAAGACAGTTATAAGATTGAGAGGTTATAAAGATCATTAAATCCAATGGGTTACCCTCAGTGAAAGTTCAGTGATAAAGCCTGTGCCATTTTGTTTGCTTTGGGAGAGCAAGTATATTGAGTGATAATCTTACAACAGCATCTCATGTGTTGTTTACAATGTAAATGACACTGAAATTCAGGCCATTAATAGAAACTCTTTACAGAGCCAGAGATGCAAACAGAAAGATGAAGCAGCACAAAATCCATTGGTGCTGCCAGTCATTTTTTTGCTGCCTTTCTGAGTGGAGTCTCACTTTCCAAGAGGCTGTGAAAACATTCCAATAAAACGTTTTAAAAATATGTGAAGTTTTTAGGAGTTTAGCACTGAAAGGTCCTATCTGAATCTTTGAATTCAATTCCCCCAGTCACAAATAGCTTGAGAACATAAGGCATGTGAGAAGACACCAAACTCTTTTCTGGATCTCATAGGAAATATCTGATCTCCAGCATACATGGCTTCAAAATGGTGCATGGTGAGTCAACTCTGTGATATAGATACAAACAAATTCCTCTTAGTCCTTTTAGAACTTAGGACTCTGCACTGTAAGACTGTTGCATTATTTTTTTCTTATGTCAGATGGAAGCTGTAGGAAAAAATAGCACTTTCGCTGGTTATTTTTAAGATTGCAATAATAATAGTAAGTATTGTAGAAAGTAATGGGATACTGTATTATGGAGGTGTGGGAAGTTGTGTCCTTCAGTTTTTCTGTTTTATAGCTGTCTCACATGTCAAAAAAACTGAGCCAAAAATATGTAAGGCCAAGAATTTTGCAGCCTGATAGCTAACCAAGTGTATACATGACTCATAATCCATTACTTGTCCTAGTAGAATACTGTCCCAGTAAATAGACAAGCTTTAAGAAGAACATCTGAATGTGGCCCAGGACAGGACAATCCACTAGCCCAGGGCTTAACTCCCTGCTCTGGCAAATAGGAGATTTTAGTTTAGTTTGCTGCTATCTTAGCAAAAGTAGGAGAAAAATTGTATTTCTACTTGTGAATAAACATTTGGGTTGCTGAACTGTTGGTATAATAACTGGCATCTTTCTTTCTTTGGAGCTGTAGTCAAAAAGGAGAAAGTGATTATCTCAATGAGAAGGTCCATGCCTTCAAATCCTCATCAGGAGAAGACGACTCCTTCCCGTACAGAGATTTGCATTCAAAACCTGGAGAAAAGCAGGGTCTCCAAATCCCCCATCTGCTACAATGAGCATCCATGTACAGTGCACTGGCCTTTGTGGATCCCATGCTCAGATTCCAGGTTGATGTTAACGTTTTTCAAGTGTTAATACTAGATTAAAAAAAAAAAATGTTATTGCTACTTACTTCCAGCTAGTCATTCCTTTTCACTTACTCATTTTGTAGCCCTCTTCAGCTGTGTTTATGTCACTCTCTGTATGAAAGTGTAAATGGTTAAAAGAATGGGAAATGCTTAGATGGGTTTTGCCCCTAATGAATTACCATGAACAGGAACCATAGGCACCTTGTTCTTCCTTTGTCACAGAGAAAGCCAGGAATGATGTGAGAAGGTGGGGCTGACATTGTGAAGCTGAGTCTCATTTCTGCACAGAGAATGAGAACTATCAGTAATAATAATCATCCTGGGAGAGGGAACTTCTAACTCTACTCACTTTTGTAGCAGTGTCATGATCTAGCTTAGCACATATGTAAAGAAGCTTGGAATATCTTCTGTTGTACAAAAAGCAAAAATATTTAATATGAAGAACTTGATTCTGCATTCAGCTTCATGTAAACTGAAATCTCTACTGCAAACCTGTTGTCTTGATGTGATGTGAATCATGTAAGTAGGACTCTCATGTGACTTCTGGCCTGAAGACATAGGTTACCATCTAAGACCTTGTTCTATAGCATTACATTAATTTATATAGGAGAAAAGGATGATGTTGTTCAAGCTAAATAAGAACATCTTCTTTTAAATCTGTATAGAACTATAAATAAACTAAATAAAGTTACATGTCATAGTATCTTGATGTAGGATCCATGCATCTTTAATGAGTATGACTGAAGCCAAAGCAAGCATGCTGTGGCTTGTCCTATGAGTCACACTTTAAACAATTATAATTTCTAACTTATTTTGGAACTTGAAATCTAAACACTGAGATTTAGCAATCCCAATTCCGTTGTCCAGTCTTTTAAATTCTTAGTAATTGGAGTAAGTAAAGAAATTTGTTTTATCCTGGTTTTAAGTTTATTTTCTTTACTGGTTATGTGTTTTATAAATTAAATTTTTAAAGTTTCAGTTATTTCATAATTTTACATTTCAAGTTTTAAAATGCTGACATTTATAAGATAATTGTACTAGAACCTGACTGTGATGAAAAAGAAGTAGAATGATACTCCCATATGATAAATGAATATTTTGGTTTCATCTTTTAAATCTCAGTAAAGGTGCTGCATTATATGTCTGTTGCTCTGAATGCCAATCTACAGTATTTCATGTACATGTCAAATTACGCTGCATGGATAAAAGTCTGGGGATTAGAAACACTGAAGGGCTTTTTACAGATGATGTTTCACATTCTCTAATCCAAACCATTTGATCACATCTCCTACTGGTTTTGCTTGTCTTTAAAACTCTTAGAATATGCTTTTGCACATCCTTTTTGTTAAAAAATTACCTACAACATGTAAACAATGCATTTATTCTTTGTGAGAGAAATAATGCTTCTGTGTGCGTTATATGGGCAATAGTGAGTTTAACAAAATTCCATACTAGTAAGGACTTGCATTGAGCCTTCCAAAATTGGATGAAGTTCTACACAAGCTCTATGTCTACACTTTTGGTCAGAGTAATTAATAAATCACCATTTGCTTCTGTAGTGACATCTTTATTTTTATTTATGCTGTGTTTTATATTTATTCTATTGTTAGAAAAAAAAAGGAGGAGGAGATAGTGGGATAGACTACAATTGTTTGCCTTTGTTATTAACAATGTGGGAGCGTGGTTACATCAGGGTAATATATCAGTGTGGGAATTAACACTAGAGTGGTTAAACAGTGAGGTGAAAAACAAAGTTGCCAATTGAAAACACCTTCAGGCTTTTTTTTGAGTTCTAAATTTAAGACAGAAAAATATTACAAAAATGACCTTCCATACCACTGTTGTCGTGTCCGGTCTTGGCGGCTTAATTTGCAAAGGTATCAAAGACTGAGATGTCTTGCCAGAAGACTCTTCTAAGTGAAATTCATGGCAGACTTCTGGCATGGGATCCAAGTTGACTCCATGACGTGACACGATTCTGCAGCCTCAGCTATAACCATGCTCCACAGAGTCTGGGCAGCAGACCATTGTGAAGAGAACGGACCATCTGTGGGGAAAAAAGATAACCTTGTGTCCAGAAACTTTGCCTTTTGTAAGTTGTAGGATGAGCTGTGTCCTGACAGCATCCACTTCCAAAAAGGGGGAGGGAGCCCTTCTAATAAGCAGTCAGCACCAGTCCAATGTCCAGCTACTTAGGCTTGGAGCAGATGTTTGTGTAACCAGACAACCATATGCTCAATGACCACTGCTCTGATACGTTTTGGGGTTGTTATTTTTTTTTAATGGGACATTAAAAAATCTCCAGAGAGAAATACTGCTGTCATTCAGGAAGTGTGGAAGTACAGAAAAATTGAACCAGGCTATAAAATTCTGGCTCTGAGAAATAGACATAAATGTGCATATAAAGGGAACACATTCTAGAAGATGTATTTACTTTTTAAGTGTTTTGCTTAAGCAAGCCATAAGCTTAAAATAAAGCAAAGAAAGATTAGAATATTGGCTGAGGTTTATTCAGTCAAAACTGTATCAAAAACCTAATTTTTGCCAGCCTTCTATTTGATATTATTTTCTTCCCTGGAGTTTTCTCTTAGAAAACCTTCCAAAAATCTGAAGAAATAGTAAGATGCATAGCAGCAGCTAACTATGTCCCCAGTGAGAATCTTTCCTTCACTGTCAGTTTGATATCGGGAAAATTATTCTTCATTTGTGATTATACTATTTACCTTCTGTTGTTTGCAGTCAGTCATTATTCCTTGTGATAGAGACAAACAAGTAGCTGATGTTTCTACCTTTGATATTACGTCATAACTAATGTTCATCACAACATTTTCTAATATTTGTGTGTCTTTTATAATATGAAATTTCAAATACTGAGTATTATGTCTACATCTAGTTTGTTTGGAGGAAGGCTACTCACTCTGAAGGATAGACTCTAGCTGGATTTTTACCGTATAGATTTGGATGGAATGATGGCCATTGTGAGTCCAGACTGAAATACAGATTCCAAGGAATTAGCAAGTGCCTTTCCTAATTTTTATTCATAAGTGATGCCTAAAAAATCAGGAGAAAGGACTCTCCAGGCAAATTAAATAAGATAGAGAACAGCTCTTTTGATGAATGCCTTCTGGCCACGGAGTACAAAGGTGCACATGTATCCAGTGGTTCTACAATTTTATAGTATTATCCATCCAATCTGAGAACTCTCTGCCCCCCAGATCCTCCCTAAATCTGCCCACCTGGCATGCCTCCCCTGAATTGAGTCAGAGCTCCCAAGACCCCTTTCTTCCTCATCTTCCTCTTCTTCACAGCACGTACTGTCTTTGGAGCTTCTCCAAGATTCTGGGCTTGAAGGTTGCTCTGACTAGGAAGGTATCTTGTTGTTCATCCCTGGGGTACATATATTCTTTAACAGAATGTGGTTACTATAGTTCTGCCTTGAAAGGAGTCTAAACAAGCCTAAAGAATTTAGCAAATTCGATATGAAATGTGTGAATAGGGTTTGGTAAATTTTAACTACTATTTAAAGTGTGAGAGACCATACAATTACACTAAAAATCTATATTTGTGCACAGCTACCTTAAAATCTACAAAAAGCTAAAAATCCTAAAAATTCTGAGGCATCGTAAGCTTCTGCAAAAACAGTACTAGAAATTTAATTGTTTCCTGAAAGAGCTTGTCCTCTTCCCCTCACCCCGAAACTTCTGCTGCCAGTGGATTAAGTGCAATCTTCATCCAAGATTCTGCACATGTGAATTGGAGTGTTTGTGAAAGGAAGAATAATTATATAATTTGTTATTTGTAAAAATGAGTATAATTTTAGTCTAGTATAGAGACATCAAATCTTATTTTTAAGGCATGTATGTTAGGAATGTTTATTTGGAAAAAACACCCATCTATGACAAAGACTTATATTTCCAAGGAAAACAATCTGACTCTGAAAGCTTCCAGAATATAGGGCCTATATACCCAGCTAAGCTCTATTTCAAACAATGAGAACAATTGACTGAAGCAAATTGTTAATATGAAGGTCCTAGAATTGCTTTGAGATTCCTCTAAGATGTTGCCAGGAGAGACTCAGTATATGCACTATTATTAAAATCACCATTATAAAAAAGCAAAACTGTATAAACCAAGAGTGTATTGTTTTAAAAAAAGTCAGTGAAGGATTAGGTGACCTAATAGGATAGCAGATGTTGAGATGTCTTGTCTACAGTACTTGTTTACAAAGAAAACACTGCTTTTGGCAGTAAACAGTCCCAATTTAGAATGGGCGATAAAAGTAATATTATTAAAAGTTATATTTCTTTAGCAAAGAACAAAATGTCTTTCAAACTACTCAGGAGCTGCTTTTTCAAAGGCTTTTGCAAAGGCTTTTGCAAAGGCTTGACTTTCTTAGGAACTGCATTATTTAGGTCCTTTGAAAATTAGCCTCTGAGTTATCCATTTAAAGAAGGGAAATATACTGCCAGGTGTTTTTATGTTGGTCATAATACCCTGTTCTCATACTCTTGAGACATGGCACATTCTGAAAGTAAAGTCTCTATTTAAAAAGAATTTCTCTCTGGTAGAATTTAAACAAATAGAGATAAACTGAATAGGGTATACTCGTAAAGAGCATGAAGAAGGAATTCAGAGGAAATCTTAAGGAAAGCATCTGTCACTACACTACGCAGCATGATTCACTCTGTTGTTGCTATTCTATCACAATTTTTACCTAATTTAAAAATGTCTGATTAGAGCATAATCTGTAGGAGTGAAAACACCAGTATCCTTTTGCTGTTACTACCAAGACACCAACTTCCAGCGCTTGTCTGGCTCATGCCAACGCCTAAAATCTATTCTGACACAGGCTGGTACAGTTAAAATCCTGAGAAACCAAGATATTTATAAGCTGTCTTCAATGTTAACATGAATGAAAATGTGGCATGATTGTCAGAAATATTTCTTGCTGAGATACATAAGATGAAAGGAATGGAGAAACTGTTGTTAGTGTTGATGACTTTGAACTATTATATATAGCAAATACATTTTTTGGTTTACCTAGTTTGTCCATATCCAGGAAACATTTCCTGAAAAAAACCTGCCTGGTTTCTGCTTCTGAAGCCTGAAGAAAGCAAGCAAGCAGCAATCTTGGCTTCTAGCTTTAATTAGCAATTGAACATATGAGAAGTGTAACCCTAGGTGACAGAATGTATTTAGATATTCCAGAAACATATACATAGTCAAGTCTTAATTAGTTGAAATAATATGTGAAAACAGTCATGTGAATAAATATAGACTGTATTTAAACTGAAGCAAATATTCCATCCATGAGGCTGTCCAAAAAAAAAAAAAAGAGAGCTTCAGGAGCTGACCTGACCTGCAAGGATGATTGCACTTCTTTTGGACTTTGAAGTCAATGCAAGTGCTTGTTTATAGGCAGTGCAATTAAGCCTTGATTTGCTTCTGGGCAACTGCCTTGACTCATGGGAAGGCTGCTGTGGCTGAATTTTAAAGAATTGAAAAACACTAATAAATGTTCTTCAGGAATACAGGCATCATTGTTGGTCAAAGTCCAACAAAATCCTATGAGGACTTTGTGTGTAAGACTGGTTCCTACCTCCCATTGCACTTGATGCAAATGAAACCAGAATCTTCCCTTCTCAAAGATGCCCATGGCTTGAATGAGCAAGCTATTCTTTGGGTAAAAAACTGGCTGCATGGCCAGTCCCAGGAAGTGAATGGAGTTATATGCAGCTGACAGCCAGTCACAAATGGTGTTTCCTAGGGCTCAGTACTGGGACCAGTTCTGTTTAATATATTAATTACTGATCCGGGTGAGGGGATTGAGGGTACCCTTGGTTAGTTCTCAGACCCCACCAAGTTGGGCTGGAGTGTTGATATCCTGGAGGGCAGAAGGGCTCCAGAGGGATCTGGACAGGCTGGATTGATGATCTGAGGCCAATTGTATGAGGTACAAAAAGACCAAGTGCCAAGTCCTGCAGTTGGGTCACAACATCTCCAGGCAGTGCTACAGTCTTGGGGCAGAGTGGCTGGGAAGCTGCTCAGTACAAAAGGACTGGGGGTGCTGATCAACAGCCAGCTGAACGTGAGCTGACAGTGTGCCCAGGTGACCAAGAAGAGATCAATGGCATTCTGACTTTTTCCAGAAATAGTGTCCCCAGCAGGAGGAAATGGCCTTAAGTTGTACCAGGAGGTACAGAGGTTTAGATTGGATATTATGAAAATTTTCTTCACTGAAAGGGCTGTTGAGCATTGGAACAGTCTACCCGGGAAAGTGGTTTAGTCTCCATCCCTGGGCTGTTTAAAATACTCATAAATGTGGTACTTAGGGACATGGTTTACAGATGGACTTGGGAGTGTAATATTAATGGTTGTACTCAATGATCTCAGAGGTCTTTTCCAAGTTAAATTATTCTATAATTCTATAAGATGGTCACTTCTGCCATCCAGCATCTTCACACGAGACAGGCCATCACCTCAAGGGATATTAAGTTTGGCTGTCAAGTAGTTGCTTTGGAAGCAGCAGCAAAAGCAACTATTCTCCTTACATATTTATTTTCCACTAGTGCAGGTATAATTTACATGCATGTTTAAACAAATATACCTGTGGGCAATAATAAGTATGTAACAGGAAGACAAAGAAAAGGAATGCATACAGGGCAGTCCTTATTGCAAAAGATAAAAGTAATGCATGGTCTAGCTGCTTGGTGAACCCCAGTATTTCTTGTTAGCCTGCTCTGGTTCCATTTAACTACTCCTAAGTGATTATGAATACTATAGTTCAAAAATAAAGTAAAAGTAATGTGCCCTTAGATTTCTTAATAATTTTATTTTTATTGCAAAATTTTAATAGAAAGAAAAAGAAATTCCTAAACAAAGATTAAAATAGAATTGAGAGATGACACCTTTCTACAGGTCAGAGTAAATGTCATTGTCAGCGTGAAAACATTTAGAAAGTGGAAGCACATTGTTACATATCTTCTACCCTGTAGGGATAGCACAATAGAGAAAATTCAAATGTAGCTTCAAAAGCCAGGGATTAAA